TCTCTCCCATTTCCCTATATCTATCTACATTTCCACAAATAGGCACACGTGGCCTTGAAGCTCAGAGGAACAGTCATCCCTGTGCACCAGCAGGCGGACCAAAAACGCGAGCCACGTGAAGAGCATGGCGAACCATAGAGCGACGGAGAGCCTCCGCCGCGTCGCGTCGTTGCAGATGGGCTGCGTACAAGGTGTACCCCTCGCGTATGAGATCAGCCTCTGGCGCGCCGTCGTCATTGTCCATCGCGGCTGCAGGTTCTCCTTCGATTCCAGCATCTCCATCGTCGGCAACGTCATCCGCAGGTGGTCCCTCGTTGTCCTCGTCTTCGCTATGCTCATCCGGTCTCTTTCACAGCACTTCGTCGTCGACCGGGATGCCCGCATCGATGATGATGTTATGAAGAATGCAACAAGCGAAGAACGGATAACAAATATTCTCCATGTTTGCGATGTGCTTACGCCCAAAGCATCTCCACAATCCTTTCAACCTGCCGAAACACCTTTCAATCACGCTGCGCAGGACAGAGAACTTGTTGTCATAGGATATCTCCTCCGCAATCCGGTCAGTGCCACCAAACGGCGTCATCAACCACGGTAGTATTGGATACCCAGCATCTCCCATCAAATATCTCCCCACCACTACGCCATCCATCTACACATTTGTCCTCCTCGTGAAAGGCTCCCTCCCTTCCTCTCGACGCCAGTACAGATCAGACAGACGTATAATACGTGAATCATGAACAGAACCAGGTGCTCCGACGGCAACATCTAGTATGCGCATGTTCTCATCGCACACAACCTTTGCTTGGATTGAGTACTGTCTGTTGCGATCGAAGTACGGCTCCGCCTCCCCGCCACGTGGTTTTTCAATATATATGTGTGTACAGTCTATGGCCCCGAAACACCCGGGGAAGCCTTTCCCCTCGTAATAGTCGAGGGTCTCCTGCAAGCAAGCGCCTGTTGACCAAGACAAGACATGACCACACTCTGCACAAATAGCTCTTGCGACGTCGTCTGTGCATCGTACGGCGCTGTGCAACCCAATCCTGAAGTCGTTCCCGGATTGACGGTAAAACCCTCCCGTCGCCTATCTGTACAGTGTGAAGGCCAACTTCAAATCAGCTGGCAAAGCATCTCTCGAGCGAGTGTCCCTCCTTTGAATCCGATGACGAATTCGTTCCAGAATTTCGTCGAATACGGGACGCGTCAGCTGTGTGTATTCCCTGAATTTATTTTCGTGTCCCACTCCCGTTATGTTCTGCTCCTCCCACGTTCCTCTCACTCGCTCCCGCACCCACTGTCGTCACCGTCGACCGACGTCTGAGAGCCGCCCGTCCGCTCGCCCTGCGCCCTCATAAACTTCATAAGCAAGAAGCAACAACACATTCCTCATGTTTTGCAGCGCGACAATGTTCGCCACAGCATGGATGAACATGGCAGCGGAGAAAACAGTGAGATGCTCCCTCATCCGCACCCACCGGATGACCGCAACTAGTACCATACCAAGTTGGGCCGCCGTCAACTGAGCCATAGCCTGCCCGGCAATGGCGATTGTGGAACACGATCACCGCTTTCCACCAAGTCAATGAACTCCAAAAATGTGCGTGCCACAACACCCCCCCTGCCGGAGCAACTTCCCGCCCGTGCACGTGCCACTTGTCGACTTGCCTCAACTGCCACTGTCGTAGATGGACACTACAACGATGCTACAGCGATGCTACAGTGATGCTACAGCGATGCTACCTCTTACGAGCAGGACGATGGAGAAAAGAATACCTGTGGAGAGCGTGGGGGGAGAGGGACCGTCGTGGAGAAACTTCCCGCAGTCATGACACAAATGGGGGACTTGACGGTCGCGGAACATTTTCGGCACTACGAAGGGCCGATGCCCGTCTCTGTGTGTGCGACACAAAAGACCCTGGGCCCACAAAGGGGGACGCACCACCAGTCACACAGTTCGCAGGGCGGCACAGGACACCACACGGTGTCAGAACGGACAGCACGCAAACGCGACCCCTCACACCCGCCCACAACAACCTGCCGCTTTCCTTGAAAAAGCACCTAGGAAACCGGGCAAGTGGGATTCCATTTTACTTGTACGTCCCTTGCGGACCGGCTCCGCTGAAAGTGGTTTTTTTATGTTCTTATGAAAAACGGTAGAAGTGGGATCAGGGCCTTAGCTCCGTTGAATCTGAGCTCATGATATAAAAAAAAGAAAGCAATACGACAAAAACGCCACGCAGCCTGTAAAAGTGGGACGCTGCGCAAGTGTGAACACGGCGAGGGGCTACCAGGAAAGTGCGTGGGCTAAAGAAACCAAGCGAGCAAGCCATCGGCAGCCCGCGCGTGCCCAGGAGGGGGGGTGGGAGAGAGAGAGAGAGAGAGAGAGAGAGAGAGAGAGAGAGAGAGAGAGAGAGAGAGAGAGAGAGAGAGAGAGAGAGAGAGAGAGAGTACTAGGAGAGCTGCGGCCACACAGCTTGACCAGCCAACACAAGCCGACACCATCGTTTTCACAAGCACACAAACGAGTTCACAAAAACGAAAGTCACACTTGCTTGAAGACTGAAAGGAGCAGACATGCGGTCCCTCGACCGGTTTCGCCCGTCTGCGCGGGCATCATCGGGAGGGTGACTCCGAGGAGTCTCTGTGCTCAAAAAAGGGAGACGAAGGTCATGTCTCCCATGCTATATAGTAATGCCTGTGTACGTTCTCCTCTGCTCGCCTCGCGAGTTTGTATCCCCGATCACCAACAAAATCTAAATACGCACCTCACACGACCCGCCGGTCAAGATGCGCTGCGACTAACCGTCGCCGAGTCTAGCTTCGGAAAACAGCCTCAGAATCTGCCTCCCTAAGTGCCCAAGTACATGCCCCTCTCTCATCCTATTCTACGATCACGCCGGTACCCAAAAAGACCCGTGCTATTCTCGTAACCAGGAAGACCAGTATCCACATTCCAAAATCGGCCGAAAATTTCTTCCTGCGAAAATCAATAAATAAATAAACAAAATAGACAAAATAAGTAAACTGCTTCAAAGTAAACAAAATAAGTATAGTGTTTCAAAAGCCCTCGTCCTGCGGCCTCTGAGTCCCTCATTATACCGTTGCTCTACGTATGCTTGTCGAAGTTGTCACGGGCCCACCATAGACCCCTCTTTCTCGCTTTAACCCAGTCTGCTGATGTTCTTATGGTTGCCATCAGCGAGTAGAGTGCCTGTGTCGGCACAACTTTGGTCAAATTGACCAAAGCATCAAGAGAGACCTCTGGGGGGTATCCCCGGAGGTCCGCTTCGCATACAGCAAAGCCGACAGCACCAAGTACCAACTGTTTACTCGTCGTGTGTTCCCAAAGTCTCTTCATTGTAGCAGTCAAGATAGCCTTTTTCACCGCCTTAGCTGAGTAGGAGCTATAGTCCTGCATAGTTTGAAAAATCAGTCTGCCTTCGTTATTCAAAGCTCCTGTATTCTTGGTCACCGGTGTGTAATGCAACCTCAGAGGTCTACAACTGACGAACATATGGCCACCGACAAAGTCCCAAGTCAAACCACATTCGTCCTTGCGTACGATCTCTAGATGCTTATCATTGATAAACTCGAATTTCTCAAACAGCTGCTCCTGGTATCCTTCGTTCATTGCTTGTGCCGTGATACCCACCACTACGGTGATATCATCCACGATCCGCCATCCACCAATCAGTCTCCTATCATATCCCAGTTCTCGCAGAAAACGCATCTCCGCCATCGCACAAGTGATGGATGCCAGTATCAGACTTGTCAACTTTCCCATCGGAATGCCGAAAACTTGTCTTACTAGTGTTTGTCCACATTTGACCACCGAACGTCTCAAATCGAACGCCACCACAGTCATCAATCTTCTCAGCGAGATACTCACATACCCGTCCATTTTCTTCTTGTTCAGGCTGATTGTACACATCTTACCCCTCATGGAAACCCTTACCTGTTTGACCCCCTCATCTTCATACTTCCTTAGTAACTGTAGCACCGCGTCCTTAACAACATTGTACGGTATCCTGGAAAACATGTCCTTAATGTCGTAGCATCTCCCTACTGCTCGCTCGCATCCTGCCGCTCTCATTCTCACCGTCGTGGCACTCAATTGCCAGACAACTCGGAAATAGAGTTAAGATAGAACGTGCTATTCTTAGACAGTCGCTTCAGCAAGCAATGCAGCGCTTTCGCTACTCTTTTCTGCGCAAGCGCTGCAGGGTCTGCTAGTGGTGGTGCAATAGGCCTCCAACGGGTGAGGTCCTTGTGCTTCGGGATGACGTATGCTGCCCATAGTCTACCATCAACCCTCCACTTACCTATCGGGTCCAAGTGGTGCCTATGGAAATCCTCCCTGATTTCCTTAACGGTGTCTATTTCCAAATCCAATCCACCGATGAGTTCGTAGTTCGCCTCCCAGGAGAAGGTCTTCCCGAACCCGTGTCGATATAGGATTGGGCACATGACAGCGGTATCCCCCTGATTCCGATCTATCGGCGTCAGCACCAACCCCTTAAAACGGTTACCCCACTCAATTACCTCGTTGTTTGTCCATGCCGCCGTCTCTTCTGTCAGACCATACCTCTTCTAAGTCTACTGCAGGTATTGACACCCCTTTAAGATGTTTGCATGCCTCTACGATAGCGCGTGCAATTATTTCCATGCTATTAGCTTTTGTCAGTCTCGTAATATTCCTCGGATTTTTCACAAAACCTGGTAAATCCAGATCAGCGAATCTCATCAGCACATGTGCCTCATGCTTCGGTAAGTTAAAGTAACTGCACGTGCATCTATTCCGTTCCGTAGTGGTCCTGGATCGTACGATATCTATGACTCTGACTACTCCGCCTGTCTGCAGTCTCGATTTTGCTTCTCGCAAAGTTGTCCTGTCCCCCATTATTTCTAGCACCGTATCCCCAAAAGCTCTCTTTAATTTCCGCCAGTTGTCAATCCACACCTCACCACCTCAGCAGTGCAGGTTTACCCCCTCCCCCACCCCTTCCTCCGTCTGCTCTCTTAGCCAGGTGAGTAACGAGGCTACTTCCAAATCTCCGAACTTAAAATTTACCACTTTATCAATTCGCATCTCCTTCCTTCTCCCTTTTCTCTCCCGTCTCCCCTTCCTTCTTCTTCCCTTAGTATTCCTCTCCTTCTTCCCAATATCTCTGGTGTTCAGGCAAGGGCTAAAATCCGCAATTAAAAAGCGTTCAAACTCGAAGTCATCCTTCTCATTCACGTGCCTAATTGGTATAATGGCATGCTTGTCCAGCCCAAACCTCCTCAACCAATGATACAGGTGTGTAGCCAGTCCTAGGGAGTCACTTAGCGTATTGCGGCAGTGTTCTCTCCATCTTTGTATTATCGATCTAACAGTGCAACCGACATATACCTTTTTAGTCCATGGACTAGCAATCACATACACTCCCCCTGTGTCTAACTTCAACAGGTCGGTCAAGCATACTGATCTATTAATATACTTATCAAGCCACGGTATTTGTCCCTGTACCGCCAGAAGGAGCATTGTCGAGGTAATGGCACACTCTACCCTTCTACCTACTTCGCCGGTAGTCCCCTGTTCCCTTAGCCTCGTCCTCCAATCCATCCATCTACTGAGCTCCTCCCAAAGTTCCGCGTTTGATGGTGCTGTTAACCTTCTGTCCGAGTCCTCCGTCGGCTGTACTGGAGCCGATCGAATAACGGTTGGTTCTTGCCTCTTAGCCGGTCTCTCCATCGAAATTCTATCCTTTACGAATTCTTCCCTCGGTGTCCCTGATGCCTTCGTCTTCATGGTGTCTTTATCATTACCTTGTTCCTCGTCGAATCCATCGTAGGCTAGTTGTACCTGGTGTCTAGCTAGAATCTCCACGATCTCTGGCTTCTTGGTGTACTTAATTCCTTTCTGTTCGCAGATCTTTCTGAGCGCGTCCGCCTTCTTTGCGGAATAGATCTTGTGTGCTGATATGCAGTACTCTATCAATCCTTTCTGCGAACACCCTGCCGCCAGTCCCTTAAATCCTCCAGTCAGAGGTGTCTTAGGCTCTACTTCCTCAGGAGATTTCGTCCCCAGCATCTCCTCTTCCTCCGCCTGTGGTTGTTTCCGAGCCCTCGAACTCTCCCCCTTCTCGTACGTCCTTATCGGTGTGCGCATCTCCTCGATCCTCCCCTTGCCCTTGTTGTTCTTTGTTTTGGCCTTGGTCCTCGTGTTCCCCATCCCTCGCCTCACGCACATCTTGTTTCGTGTGATCTTCCCACCCGATTCAGATCCCGATGACGTATCGTCTGACGTGTTCGACTCGTCGTCAGTCGAGCACGAGGATTCCGAATCCTCACTTGAATCATCACGTCTCCTGCTCCTTTGTGCCCTCCGCCTCTTCGGTCCGCCGTGTTCTTTCTGGTACCTCTTCTTTTTCTTTTTCGTCTTCTTTGCAGATTTTCCAATCTTCTCCGTTGATTTCACAGCATCTGCATGGTTCTTCCTCCATTCCTCTAGCAGTTCAGCTCGCAACTGCAACTTGAACTCCTCAACTTTCCTCGCGAAGTCCAAGTTTCTCCTGGTCTCCTCCTCTTCTCCAATTCTCTTCTCCTCTTCCTTTCTCCTCTTCTCCTCCTGTTCCATTTTTTTTTTTTTAGCCAGCCTAAACTGCTCCTTGATCTCCTCCAGTTCCGGATCTCCTTGTAATCCCCCCATGTTTCTCCCTTGCCTCGACCAGCAATCGCGCGTCATGTGTCCCAGCCAGTGAATCCCCCCCGGCGGCGGACAGGCGCGGCCAAGTCCGCGGCCGCGGCCAGGCCGCGACGCCCGCGGACGTGTCCGCGCGGACGCGCGCATTCGCGGACACGTGGCGGTCGCAGGGAAGGGGGTTTGAAGATTTTGGCGGCGCCACGTGGCAGCGCATCCCCTGCCCCACCCCCCCCCACAAAAAAAAAACGAAAAAGATCAACTTTTGGTGGGGGGGGGTATGGGCGAAATCCAACGAAAATGGGAAAAAAAAACGCGTTTTTTTTTTTTTTTTTTTTTTTTTTTTTTTTTGTGTTTTTTGGGGGGGGGGGGGGGGGGGGGGAGGAGCTATCCATCTGACAGTTGTCCATCCGCATGTGGCGGGCGTGATGGCCTTGTTGTAGGTATCTGGTCAGGGGGGCAGAACGACGACAGGAAGGAGGGATTTCATCCTCTCCGCTTCGCGGCGTGAGCGAAGTCGTGGACATGGCGGCTGATTTCGCCTTGACCGACAGACGGTTGATTGAACAGGCACATGAGCTCGCCCGCAAGCGAGATGTTCTGTTCACACGCGTGTCTGCTATGGTGGAGGAGTTGAAGCGTTTGCGAGAGGAGGTGGACAAAGCTGCCATGAGAGCGGGTGTGGCAGTTTCCAAAGCAGAAGCTGCAGAGAGGACGATTGTTGTGTTGCGGGAAGAGGTGGCACGTTTAGAGCAGCAATTGGCAATGCACGAAGGGGAGTCGCAAAATTCAGGGCCGCATTGTGATGATTACGTGAGCACTGTGCAGAGCCCTGGGGTAGGCGAGGAAGGACCGTCGCGAGCGTCACCCTATCCCTGAGCAATTTACTTCCGGACAATGCGCACCGAACACCTCCACATAGGCGTGTGTCCGTGCCGTCAGGTGGTAGGTCGCCGTTAGTGTCAGCGGCCATGTCACCGGACGTGAACCGGCGTGATGTGGCAGTTGTTGCAGATCGCCTTCAGAGGTCGATGAGTATGGAGCCTACTTCGTCCACCGGCTCTAAATAGTGTCGCATTAAATAGAGGGCTATAAATAGATTGTCACCAGCCCGTCCTTCCAGTGTAGTTGTTCGTGTCTTTCGCACGGTGTTCCGGTTTATGTGTACTGTTGTGTCTTCAGGGCCGGGGGGTAGTGAGCGGTCTGTCTGAACGGGAGAGGTGTTGGGTCATGGTGTCAACGACGCAGGCGTGTATTCGCTGGTTCGGGGTCTTTTGGATCGAAATCTGTAAAAGACGACAGTGTATTCTATTTTTGCTTTCGGTGCCGAACAATTGAGAAAGTGAATTTGGGATGATCGCACTCCTTGTTGTCATTGCTTCCCGTGACAAATTCGCATCGGTGTTCTTGTATTGCCATTGTCCGTCTCACGACATTTGTGTCAAGTGTGATTGGTGGGTCTGCCATTGATGGTGGGTCCTCATTGTTTGGTCGTCGATTGCATGCACAGGGCTGAGCTCAGAATGTGAACATATGTTTGAGGTAACTATTTGGAGGATGTATGCAAGCAATGCCACGCAGTCACAGCTTGTCTCTACCCCGAACCGGGCATTGTTAAGCAATACAAAGTTGCACCGCCATCGTGAAGAATCTTGCAACATAATAAAAAACGAATTTAAATATCCAAAAAACAAACGAACAACACATAATGTGCACGAAGAACAAGCAAGGTCAAAGGGTGTGGCCTAGTGGAAATGACAAATCCAAAAATATGTAATTGTGGCAAGTTAAAGACAATGATGGTACTCATGATAGAAGAAAACCTGCCTACAACATGAACTGATGGTGATCATAAGCTCGAGGACTAGCTCTCTCTCTCTTTCTCTCTCTCTCTCTCTCTCTCTCTCTCTCTCTCTCTCTCTCTCTCTCTCTCTCTCTCTCTCTCTCTCTCTCTCTTTTTCTCTCTCTCTCNCGCGCGCGTGCGTGTGTGTGTGTGCGCGTGTGTGTGTATGTGTGTATGCGCGCGCGATTCCAAGATCGCCGCGCGAATGTGAGTGTGTGTGTGTGTGTGTGTGTGTGTGCACGTGGTGGGTGGCGGGGAGGTGGGGTGACTCCTCCCCCCCCACCAATCAATCAATCAATCAATCAATCAAACCCCTTTTTTTTTTTTTTTTTTTTTTTTTGCATCTGCATTTTTTCAAAACACCTCATACTTCTGCAACAAACATAAATTCATTTCTAAAAAAATACAGCTAAACTCACGGACCATATATCTCATGATAAAAAATGACCAAAAAACATTCCTGCTTTTCCTTATATTTTGTTTTTTAATTTTCTTTAAATCCAATTTCGTTTTTGATTTTTTAAAAATCCTAAAAAATGTCGGATTCAAAAACAAAAAATATGGAGTTGTAGGGCTTAAAATTCCCTACAACCCCATATTTTTTTATTTTTTTTTACCTATTATATTATTCAGGAAAATTTGTGTAAAATCGGGTCCGCGGTGCGGACCAGGTAGGCCGCGGATGCGGACCCATTTGGGTCCGCGATCCGAGCTCGACCCCGCGGACGCGTCCGCGGGTGTTTCATAGGTCCCAGCTTTCCGCAATTGAAGCATGCGTCATTCCCTCCTCCCTTTCTCCCTCCCCCTCCCGCGTATCCAGTCGTACCCCAATATGCCTGTCCACTACCGATCTGCTGACCGTTCACAACACCCTGTCCGCCACCACCCACCGGTCCAGTGGTCAGATACATCTTTGCCGCCGATATGTCTGCCGCGTATCCTACTAACTTCTTGCGCCCTATCTCTACTTATCTGCACAAGCTATGTGTCCGAAAGTGGATTCAACGGGGGTTCTGAGTTGAACGGATCAACTCCCATTGAACCCCCGTTGCAACTCCGCGTTAGACCCCGTTAGATCGGGGTACAACTCGGCCCATGAAATTTCTTTTCGCCGGCGAAAAAATGGTAAAATTGCTCTCTACATCCCTTTTTTTTTTTTTTTTTTGAGCATTTAAATTCTTTTAAAAAAATCAAAAACAAAAGCAGACTCAAAACACAGAGATTTGTTTTTTCATTTTTCTTGATTGATTGATTGATTGATTGATTGGTGGGGGATGGGTCGCCCCCCCCACCCCCACCAAATCAGACACACACACACACACACACACACACACACACACATACGAAAACAAGTATGGCAGTGTATATTCCCACAATATAGCGCCAGATTCATTCGATTTTGGTCATCCTATCGATGGAAGTACCATGAGGCCAGCCGCGATGTTGGAGACTTACCTGCTCTCTCTCTCTCTCTCTCTCTCTCTCTCTCTCTCTCTCTCTCTCT